TAAAGAATTATTTACTTTCAGTAAATAATTCTTTACCAATAAACTCGTGCTTTTTCTAATCAAATTTTAAAAATAGTTGGCTAATAGCAGGTCAATAGCGTTCTTTATGGATAAAAAATACGTCAGTGTGTTCGCAAAGCCACCGCAAAATGATCTTTTTTGAATAAAAGTTTTACAATATAAAAATTCCAATAGCAGGTCTTGTCAAACGAAAGTCTGATAAATTCAAGCGTCACGTGAAGCAGTCGTCAGTTAATAAGAGGAAGGCGAAACTGGAGAACTGGATAAAAGAACCATGAATTGATAGATGTAGCCAGAGCATGGCGACAACAACACAATTTGTCAGGTTAGCAAGGCTCAACGAAATAGCGAGTGAGTAATTCGTAGATGGTGCTAGGAGAACAGCTCTGGACAAAGGATAAGTAAGCAATACAGCAATGACGTTGTTAGTACAGTTTGCTAAACTCAATTCTGTGCGGCTTGTGTTGTTCTGACCATTTTTAATTATTTCTTGCCTCTGTTGCTTTTAAAATTATGTTGAACAATAAAGAACTCTAATTATTTTTATAAAATATGTTCTTCTAACAAGTCTTTAAATGCTGAATAAAAAGCTTGAAAGGATATAAATGATAAGTATGTCAACTAATTAAAAACAACGAATAAAAGCTTGCCAGGAAAACACACTCGTCGGCTGTAGGAAAAGTGTGCGAATATTCTTTGAGTCATGTATTCTTAGCATAAAGAAGTGCTGCGTAAATTAGCGTAACAGTTTTCTAAAGGTTATTCTTTTGCAATGACTTCATGCAGGAAAATACCGTCAGCTGATCAAAGATAACACCATAAAAATATTGACAATGAACACAGCAATTCAAGGGCACTATTTTTGTTAGTTGATTTGTTTAAAGAGGCCTTCAGTTTTAGAATACGTTTCTATAACCTAAATTACAGATTGACATCAACATTAATTATCGTATATTGATGTGATTTCCACTACTGTAGAAAACCAATTTGGTGAACTCAAACTTAGCAAAAAGTGCTTTTTGTAAAAAAAAAAATTTTTTTTCGATGTTTTCAGTGAAGTTTACTAAAAACAAATTTTACAAACGACGAGTCTGTTTGTCAGAGTTCTAAATATAAAATAGTGTGAGCAGTTTGTTTCAATAGTTCAATTTTCAAAAAAAAAAATGTTGCATATTTTATTCCAGAACTTTTTTATTAGAACAAACAACAAGAAGAAAAAATAGATGCATACAAATGTAAAATTTTCAACGTTTTAACGGTTTTTACATAGGTGGACTTTTTCAACTTCACACGTGAAGTTTTTGCATTTTTCGCCTGTGAACGTTTTTTCCTAAATAATTAAAACTCTTAAAGAGGATAGTTATCAGCTTAGCAAACAGCATGAAAATTGCAGTAGATATCAAAAATCTTTATATCTGAGCTTGCAAACCTTTTGTTCACAATATTCAAAATTTGTTAGTTGAAGATTTTAGAATATGAAAGTTTTTTCACTATTGCCACATAATTTAGGTGTAGCTTATTCAAAATTTTATTGACGGTTAATTAATTCAAAAAATACTTTCCTGCCGCTTATCGCTTTGATGACAATTCTATCACAACTCAGACGTGTTGTTTAGTAAAAATGCATTTTCTACAAGAAAAATTTAATCGCTACTGAATTCCTCACTGCTGCAATTAGAACAAGAAAAAGGTGCATTAAAATAAAAAAGGCTTTTCATTTTTTTCTAATTAGTTACCGCCGACAGTGACACACACACACACACAGAATTTGCAGTCGAAATGTGAATTCCCTTCTAACTGAACCCGATTTTCCACAAGTTAACTTTCCGACATTTCAAAAAATAAAAGTCTGTTAGATAACACACATATATATGTTAATATAGCAATGAGCATTATCAAAGAAAAAAAAGAAAGTTTTTTTAAACTTTAATTTACCGAATCAGTGAAACTTTCAGGCATTCAACTTTTTGAATTACGAGAGTCCTATCCAGGAAGATAAAAAATAATCCTCTTTTACTACTTCTCTGTCAAGTACACTATTTCTTTTAGGCCAGTCTTTGTAATACAAAACCTCTCCGCCAGCAAGGTAACCAATCCACCAGGAAAAAGTGGTGGTAGTTATTATGGTGTGGTTGCAAAAAGCAAGTGTTGCCATATGAATTTCTCTCGAAGCCAAAGGTAAGAAATTTATGTAGCGTGTGTCTAAAAGAGAGCATTTTAATTGCTTCCAGTCTTCGACCACAGAGCTTTTTAGGCACCAGTAGCGACAAAAGTTGCCTTTATAAAGCACTACCTGTTTCGACGCTTCCAATGGCATTTACTGTCCAGTCCATATCATCGCTGGAAACGACAAAAATTGGGTTTACAAATTTGGATCTAAAACAGTTTCGCACTCACTAATAAACTGCAATTAAAAACTTTAAAATTTATCGTCTTAAACAAAATTACTACCTTTGGGTTCACTTACTTGAAATAGGTGATAGCATTGTGCAGATATTCTTTAGTTGCTGTTGTATATCCCCCTTTTTTAAAGGAAGAAGAATAAGCTGTGTCGCCGCGCCTAACGTGAATGGCAACATATACACTTTTCGTCAAATCTAAGAGATTGTGTTACTAGATATAAAAGCCTTAATTTTACATAAAGCTAACTGAAAAGCGTTCTGAAACGAGAGACAAGTTGAAAAAGTGTAAAAGGTAAAGATTTCAAATAAGCAAAGTTTTG